ATTTTGATGGTGTCTGTAAACTATGGTCCCATACATTTTCCCTTAGGTACCTTTTATAACTTAATTTTCTATTAGCTTTTTGCAATAAAACTTTCAATAAGGTTATTTTGGAATTTTGAAGGTTTTGCTTTTAAGTGCACCTCTTAAATAATCTGATCTAATCAGGATGCTCCTTCTGTTGACAGCTATAATTCCTCTGAGGCTGGCGACAGTTTGGTAGGGCCCTTACCCAAGAATGACTGCAACCCACGTTTCTGTCTGACTATCTCTGACTACAAAATGGGGTGCCACTACGCTTTGTCTGATTGTATATAGAGACCTTGACCCGACAATTATTGAGTCAAGCCCTCAGGACACAAACAAGCATGGGAGGAATTTTTTTTTCTTTCTTTGTAAATATTTACAGCTTTTGGAACCTTTAGTTGAGCAATTATGCTGGAAGGTGGGGCGCTGGACTTTTAAAACAATTTCCCTCTTACTTGGATCTTATAAAGGAGCCCAGAAGTGTAGATTCCAAGTGGTTTCTGCTGGGTTTCTCTGAAATCTTGCTGCAGTGACACCAAGAAATGTCAATGCAAATTTTACATAGTTAATCTATAAGAAAACTTTAAATCGTTCCGGGTTATCTTGTCAACCATTTACAGCTATCCCCATTTCATTAAGCACTTGCAAGTTTCAGCATGAAGCCAGCCAGAGTGCCGAGGGGAGGCTGCCCATTCGGGAATGGTAGGCTTTTAGAAGCTCAATTTCCCCTCTTTCTTTTAGTTTGTTTTTACTATAAAGTCTGACCAATTCCTAGGGGCAGTATAGTGGGTCTGCCACTCCCATGAGGTTCGCAGTCACCTCAGAACACCTTACAGCTGGGAGAAGCTGGTGGCCATTCTCTTCAGAGCTGAACAAGTTCAGGCTCTCATTTCTCAGTCAGGCAGTTTGATCAGACTTTATACACAATTCTTCCAAATTTAAAGCCCAATTAAAAGTCAGCCTGCCTATTCACTCCAAAGTTCGCCCCATAGGCTCCCAAGGCCTAGGAAATTCCCATAGGTTTCCCTTTCCTAGGAATTTCCCACAGGTTCCTCTTATCTAGGGTATGACCCAGTATCCCAATAAGACACCCAGGCTTAAAGTTGGAAACAGCTCATATAAACTCTGGACTATTGACTTAGAATAAAGAGGTCTGAGTTTCGGGAGATCTCACCAGGGTCACCTGAAGAACGCAGTGATTCTTTGGGGCCAATGGGCAGTTTATACCAAAGGCCGGTTCAGTGTAGATTCCAAGTGGTTTCTGCTGGGTTTCTCTGAAATCTTGCTGCAGTGACACCAAGAAATGTCAATGCAAATTTTACATAGTTAATCTATAAGTCAAAATTGGGGTGTGCTTACTATGAGCCAAGTTTGAGGACTGTAGCCAAGTGGCCTTTCTTCCCAAGGGAAGAAAGGGCAACAAAGAAGTGGGGTGTACAGAGTGGTTATAGACCCTCTTAGCACAAAGGGCATACATCACACATGACAAGAATATCTCTTTAAAACTGTCACAGGATCTTCGCTGGCACAGCAGGGCGGTGGTCCCAAGGTGAGCACAGAAGGTCGGTAGTTGATGCTTAGTTCCCAGGAAGAGATGTTAATCCTTAAACAAATGCTGATACGGGGGGAAGTTACATCCTCATCTTTAAGGGCATCATTCTTGTCTTTGGGTCATAGTAAATGTTTCAAGCAGATGGACAATGCACGCTCCACAGACTGCCTCAGGCCCCTTTGGAAAAACAAGGTCAGGCCAAATTAGTTGTAAGTCACATGACTTCCTCATATACTCCAATACATCCGATTGATTTTCATTTATTCATCAATGGTAAGTCTGACTCTATTCAAGAACACCTGCCATGAGTGAGCACTTGTGTAAATAAACCTTCGATTTCCCATGCATCTCTCTCTGAGAGAGAAACAAGTCTTACTGGTCCTCCAGGGAAAACGCAAGCAGCCTGAGAATCAGAGCTGGAAGCCTTGTGACCAGAGATGCTGAGAGCTGGGTGAGGCGGCCCGGCAGGGACAACATGGACCATGAGGACCTTCCCAGACACCATTGTGAAAGGTAACTCCCAAGGGCCACACGTGGGCCTCCTCTGAGCCAGGGGAGGACTCACAAACAGGCCCAGTGGGAGTGTCTATGGTACCTCACCTCATTCAGCAAATTTGAGCTGCTCCTTTTCGGGGAGAAAAAGTGGCCCTATGCACACTGTGATGGAAGACTTTGGGGCTGAAACCCCAGATGTGAGAGGTCTGTCATTCCACACAGCAAACCTGCATCTGGGCCTTGTCACATGAAACACACACATGTGGGCCATGATTGTGAAGAACACAAATCATACACCTTACCTTCAGTGACCTTGTTCTGCCCTTTACAGTATAATCCTCCCCTGTGAGCCTGGACCAGAGATCTGCTGTCAGTTCACTTTAAACTAGTGCTACAGTAATCACCCATCCAAAATCAGATCTTTCATTCGCCCCTGGTAAAGAACTAGGAGGAGCAGAGCTCCTGACATTACTGAGGACTTGTTGACAATGAAAGTCATGGACAGCCCACCTTTCTCCACCTCCTGGGAAGCAATAGGTCAGTGAGGAATGCAGAACTCTGGTGACAAGTTGACAGTGGGAAAAGTGACTTTCTGATGAAATAACAGGATAAACATTGACCACGGTCCACTCTGCCAGCACTGCCCACGCAGTGTTGGGAAATGTCTTCTCCCGTGATGGGAAGGCCAGTGAGACCCAGATCAGTCAGACCCAGGGGGGAGTCTCCCCATTTGAACTTCAAAATCTAAGGTGAGGCCCTGCTTCCTGATCCTTCCCCAGGGGTCAGCAAAAAGAGCCCGTCATGTCCCTGCTGTGGGTGTGGATCCTCCATGGCTCCCACCTTCCCAGCTTGGAGCAGGAAGGCAGCTCCAGAGGCTTCTCTGGAAGCAGCCGCTGGTCTGGTGGGTGACAACTTCCTGCCACCACATAAGGCTGATGCCGTGCTGTGACCATGAAGCTTGAGCCTTGCTTTCCTTGGTCCTTTTTGAAGAAACTGGAGACATCTGAAAGCCCCTGTGGAAGGCTGAACAATGATGCCAGGGCATCAGCTGTCAGCTCTAGAACCTGTGAACGGACCTATTTTGTAAAAAGGTCATGGCAGATGTGATTAAGTTAAGGGTTTTGAGATGGGAGATTATCCTGGACTTTTCCAATGTGCCCTAAACACCAGCACAAGTCATAAGACAGATATACAGAGGGAAATCAGAACCCACAGAAGAGCAGGAGGCACCGGGTCCACAGAGGCCGAGACTGGAGGGGTGTGACAAAAAGTCAAGGGCTGCTGGCAACCACCAGAAGCTGCAAGAGGCAAAGGACAGACTCTCCCTAGAGCTTCTGAGGGAGTGTGGCCCAGACAACACCGTGACTTCGGCCCAGGGACACTGATCTCAGAGTTCTGGCCTCTTCGGCTCTGAGAGAATCACTTTCTGTTGTTTGAATAAACTACATTTATGATCATTTGTGACAGTGGCCTCAGGAAAGGAATCCAGCTCTAACCCCCACCAGGCACTGGAGAAACACAACACAGAGAAGGACATTGTGGCCCCTATGGAGAAGGACGTTGACGAGAAGTACAACCCCACCTGGCACTGCCTTGTGGGGAGGACCTTCAGGTTACGTGACACAGGAAACCACACACTTCATCTACATCTGCTTGGGCCAAGGGGCCATTCTGCTGTTCAAATCTGGGTAAAAGCAAGGATGTGCCACACACCCAGTGATCCATCCCAAAACAAGTACTGTGGCCTATATTCCAAATACCAGGGACTGGAGTCTTCTGCCTCGCCTGAGGGAGAAACCTCGATCTTTGAACCTTTACCTTGTTGTTTCATACAGGGCATGCTCCTTCCGAATTTGTTGTGGTTAAAAAGCAACTAGCAAACAGCTTATGTTTGTCTTTATTTTCACTGAGAAAGAAGAGACTTCACTACTTCAACAAGAGGGTCCATCTTGTCAGGACTTGCTGTTATGGGAGAAAATCGTGACAGATCACTTGTGCACTTATCCTTCTCATGACCACTGTGACATGCCACACCTGCTTCTACTGCAGGCGTGAACAGCAGAGGAGGCCCATGAGAATGTGCATGAAGACTGCACAGCAAAGCTATGGCTGCAAATACCTCCCCCAAGCATCTCCAGGGGTCCCGCGATATCTAACAGGAATCCAGAACACTCCCCCCATATCAGATGTGAAAGCACTGCTTTACCTGACTACTACAAAAGTGCAACTCTGTTCCTAGGGTCCCCCACCAACCATGCTGAGCCCCCCATCATGACTGGGCTTTGTCTGCCTTGAAGCCTCAAATCTCATGTGTCAGCCAACACACTTGCAATTGTATATAACCAAGAACTCAGCTCAAGCTGGAAGAAATAAACAAGGGCCACAGCTGGAGCAATCCAGAAGGTCAGGCTTAGGGGTCCTTGGACCCATTGGGGACCAAGTTCGCAAGAACCCAGGATATTTTCACCAGTGTCTGATTTATGCCCAGCTCCCCTTCTTTACAAAAGTGAGAGGGCTGCTGCAATCCTGGGGCAACATTGTTTTTGTACCTTTCAAGACAATAAGAGCTTTTATTTCTCCAACGACTGAACAAACATACTGAGCTTCACAGTCATGGAAGTTTCCACCACAACCACCTTCCCCTCAACCCGATCATCATTTTGGTGAATGGAATCTCCCCTCTAGTTGCTGGGGCCTTGGGTAGGGGTACAACCTTGAACACTCTCTGAGGTCAGGTGTGTGGGTCAAGTATCCGACGCCGGAGCGGGAAGTGAGGTCATTCCCACCTGAACAGTGTGTCTGAGAGAGGGGGGTTGGGTAAAGGACAGCGTCCCAGATACAGACATCAATAGTTGTGTTGTAATCAGGATCATAGCAGGCAAGCTTCCAGAATCAAATGTTGTGCAATCACCAAGGAGCCATATAAACAGTGGCTCCCCCCACTTGCAGCAGCCTCGCTGGGTCCCAGTCTCAGAGCAGCTCCTCCATCTCTTCCCACCACCCAGCATCCAGCCGGCGTTCACCATGCGGGGCCTCTGCTTCGTGCTCCTGACCTGCTTCATCCTCTTTCCTCACTTTGCCACAGGTGAGCTCTGAAACCAGGCTGGTGTGGGGTCTCAGGGGTCTCATGCCCAGGGAATGGGGACCAGGCCGTATGGGGGAGTGGCTCAGGATCTGGAAATAAGTAATAAATCTGAGCATCATGGAGAGCATCAACCAAAGAATGAATGTCTCAGGGGAGATTCTTAGCTTGATCTTAATGGACTGAAACATGGTCCTCAGTATCTCTCAGGTTAAGGATGGAGTCATTTCCCTGACATGGACCCAGTGAGTAGCTAGAGACAACACCACTAGGCCAGGCCAGGCTTTCAGGCTGGCAGGTGTGGCTGGCTTTGGAACAGGCCAAGGGGATAATAACCACGTAGGAGGTGCCGGCCCCAGGGCTCATTTGCTGTCCAACTTCCGTGCCAGGGAGAGAGCCCAGGATATAAGAGAGAGCTGAACCCAGGAGCCAAAATACCATTGTGTGTTTCTCAGCTCCAATGGTGACTCGCAGTGTGTACTTAGACAAGTCACCGAGCTGTCCTCAGACTCAACTTTGTCTTCTCCTGAAAAGGAAGACAAACCCCAGAATCATACAGAGTCTGGTTGAGGGCAAACAAGGGAGAACTTAGGCAGGGCCTTGCAGAGCAGCAGAGACACGCCAGGTGTGTTCCCCCTCTGTGATTCCTGCCTTTTTACTTTTTGTGGCCTCTGTCTGACAGCCCATGGTGACAGGCCCACATGCCAGCCCCTCCTGAGGCCTGGATGCTGCACAAAACATGGCAGGACAGAAGGTCCTTGACGCCTGTCTGCTCTTTCTGCCTTGTTCCTCTGACCCAATCTCTCCTGCCCTTTTGTGCCCAGGGCATGTAGGGGTGTGCATTGTGGGTTGGTCTTCATCAGGCTGCATGAGGCTACACAGAGTCCCCTTGAGCATCTTGAGCAGGGACTGGACGCTGGGGTGCAGGCAGGGGAGCCTTGAGTCAGCATTCAGGGCAGACACTTCAGTACCTGCCCTCTTTAGAGCAGAGGCTGTCCTGCCCGCCAGGAACCAACGCAGCAGTGGCAGCAGAGCAGAAGGAGCCGGGGCTCCGTAGGATTTCTGAGGGAGGCGCCTGCAGAAGGAGCCTCTCCTGCGGGCTCTGCGGTGCACATGTCATGACCCCGAATTCACAGGGAATGTTGCTCCTGACTGTGTGACTCAAAGAGTTTCCTCTCCACAGCCCAGGTCCAGGATGTAGACTCAGAGAAGGAGTGCTATAAAAGAGAGGCCGAGTGTAAATGGTTTTACTGCCCAGAAAATCATCACCATCTTGGTACCTGTTGGTTTGGGATAAAGAAATGCTGTCTGCGCTGGGAATGAGCTGAAGAACATGGGAGGACAAGGAGCCCGGAGAATGAAATAAAGGCCTGACTGTAACTCTGAAAGTGCTGTGGTATTATTTCCCAAAAGTAAAGAAATGACCTGTGCTGTATTTGAAAAAAGTGATTATTACATGTGACGGTGTCTGGGAGAGACGTGTGTGTGGAAGCAGAGAGGGAACTGACGCGTGCAAGGCGGGCCTAGGAGAGGGGAGGCCTGGCGTGCCTGAGATGGTAGATGCTTTTACATGGAAATGTTGGAGTTTCAGGTGTGTGCTGGAAGAGGGGATTCAAGATCCCTAATTATGGGAAGGTGACGGTGGTGTCCCCGTATATGGCAGATGTGTGTGCAGGGGGAGAAAAGGAGGGACATTCAATCAGGAATTCACCTTATTCTGTGAGACCCCACCCTTAGAACATATAGGCTTAAAACACCCTGCTCTTGAGTAAGCTCATGATTACATGGTGGGCAAGAGGAGCGGGGCTCAGGTGAGTGATTCTTCTGGTCACATCTACCAGGCATTAGTCCCCTGGGTCTGTCATAACAAAGCACCACAGCCTCGGTGGTTTAAGCAATAAAAATTGATTTCCTCACAATTAGAGGCTGGCAGTGCAAGGTCAAGAGGTCAGCGAGGCTGGCTTCTTCTGAGGCCTCTCTCTCTCACTTGCTGAGGGCTGACTTCTCCCTGTGTCTTCCCATGGTCTTCCCGCTGTGCACACCTATGTCCAGATTTCCTCTTCTTGTCAGCACACCAATCATCCTGGCTTAGGGCCCACCCTAATGACCTCATTTTAATTTAATGGCCTCTTTAAAGACCTTTCACCAAATAAGGTTACATTCTGAGGTACTAGGGGTTAGGACCTCAACATATGAATTTGGGGGGACACAATTCATCACAGAACACCTGGGCTTACTCCTACACCTGCAGTCAGCTTCCAGGTTGACTGGGGCTGCCTTCTGGCTGAGACAATGGGAAACTCTGAGCTGAGTCTCGTCTCATCTCAGACTCACCCAGGCTTGTTCTCATCGTGGTTTCCAGGGTCTCAGCAGAACCAGAGGAACCACGCAAGGTGTCTTGAAGTCTAGGCTCATAAGTGACCCCAATGCTGTCTTCTCTTGACCAAAGCAAGGCAAAAGGCCAGGGCCACTCCAGAGTTATGGAAACAGACTCCACCTGCAGACGGGAGGACATGCATAGTCACACCATTGAGGTCCGATTCAGGGAGAGAGGTACAATGATGGCCACTCTTCCATCAACCACAAAGAGTATCCTGGGCCCTTCTACCAATATGAGCCTGTGTGTTGTGTGAGGGGCTTAACTCGGCTCAGGAGAAGGCTCAGACCTTCACAAATGCTGCCTTAGAGACAAGATTCTCTGGACAACTGTCCAGATGGATCAAGGTTCTGCTCTGGAGACAAGACCCAGAGTCCTACCAAGTATAGTCCAGGGCTGTGATGCTGGTGGAGGAGCTTGCTGAAAATATCATGCATGACTAGTTCTTGTAGAGAAAATCAGAATTTTCTGGAGTCCTTCATACTTATTTTGCCCTTTATACTGTACTGATTTTTGGAATTTTTAGAGGGCAGGGACCCTATAATGCCATCTGTGCTGAAAGTCCCCGAAGGACTTCATCCGGATCTTTCCCTTCCCTGGGGACCTCTGTGTCATTGGAGGCTAGTGTCTCTCTTTACACCCAGGACCAGGACTGAGTCGGGGAGGTGAAGGCGGGGTCTTTAACACCCCCATCATCTCCTGCAGGCTCCTCCCTACAGCTGACCAAGGAAGGATGAACTAGAGATAAAGCCGAGAACTTGCAAAACAAATGCAGCTTCAAAAACATCCCCCAAACCCTCCACCTCACTGCTCTGTCTAAATGCTTCCTATGTAGACCTCTGGAGCCCCCGCCTCTGCCCACAGCCCCTTAATCAGAACACGCTCCAAGTCACAGCCTAACTCTCCTGCTGCATCTGCCCCCTGCCCTCTCCTGCTGTCTAATCATCTCACCGCACACACCCTGCATGTCCATGCTGTGTTCATGCCCACAGGGAAGGCCCTTCCCCAGCTTAATTGTAGCTCCCCTTCCTGCTACCCATGGGGCTTATTCACCTCTTCCTCTGTTCTCCCTGAACATCCATCGAGCAGAGCTGTTGAATCCTAAAGGGTGGAGGAGAGGAGAAGGGAAAGTCTGCACAATGACTGGCTGAGGGAACAGGATGTCTGCAAATCACCATCCTTTATAACCGCAGACCCCTGCATGCATTCACACCACTGGTATTTATTGTGTTGCCTCTCTGCCAGGTCCTGGGATGAAGGACTCAGATAACATCCCTCCTCCTGGTATGACATTCTAGTAGAGGCAGATGGACAATGAGAAAATCAACTCATTAAGTGACACCTGTGATGAGAAGAAGAAAGCAGAGCAAGGGGATGCCTAGTGTCCATGAGGTGCTATTTTATACTGGGTGGCCTGCATGAGCCTCTTTTTTGTGTTTTCTATTGGTAATTAATGTCAGTTTGTTATTAACACTCTCGGTAGGACCTGCACCAAGGAATTCCTCCACCTCCTGTAATAGCTCTTACAAAGGAGGAGAGAACAGCGATGTCCTCAGACCCCCTGACACAGACACAGCACTGGACTCAGCCCGTTTACAGATTGCTGGAGGGGAGGGAGCTGCCCGACATTCCTCCCTCACTTCACCCCACATCTTCAGGAAGGCTGCTGACTCATGGGACAGAGTGGTCTGCTTCTCCCAGAGATATTGCCTGGTCTGTGATGAGGGACAGTGTGGGCATGAGCCATTGCCCCAAACATACTCACAGGTAGTTCCTTGTCTCTGGTAGGAGGATGCTTCCAAATTCGTCCAAACGAAACATATCTTGCAGTTGGGAGCCTGAGCTTCATGATCTCCAGAACTTTCCTGGCAGTTAAATATGCCCCTTTGGCAGCATATGCCCTTCACGTCAGCAGCACCCTCCCCGCTCATGATCCTCTCCTCCAAACAAGTTCAAATGAGATTCAGGCAGGAAAGGATGGAGAGTCTGAGCAAGTCTTGAAAAGGGAGACACATAAGCAGAAAGGTCCTAGATCTGAGGTCAGCAGACACTGCAAAATTGCTCTGGCCTGCAATCCCTCTTCCTTCTGTGAGCTGGGACAGCCATTTCATGACGCTATAACCACCACCTGGATGCTGAAGGCAGGAGGAGAGACGGTGCTCAAGCAGAATCCTGTGATGTGGTAAAGGACATACACTCTGGAAATTTTCTCAATACCTTCTCCCTTCAGTTGGGTTTTGATGCTTCCTGGCCTTCTCCCCCGATGCTCATACAATCCATTAGCTTTTCTCATCATCTGCCTTCCAGTCAGCTCTATCCATGGATCCTAGGCACAACCCCGTGGTAAGGGGGAGCTGGGGTGACTTTCCTCTCACTACTTACTTCACTGCACCGTGCCACATAGGAGCAACCTTTGAGTCACTAGAGTTTTGAAGATTGTGTCTCTATAGAATCTGAACTAGAAATTTCTACAGGGAGAATTCCACAGGGAGGGAACTGGATGAAAGAGTTGGAGAACTCAAAAAGCAAAACAGGAAGAGTGGGGAGACAACCACAGCATGCAGCCCCCACCCCAAGGACTGGGAGAACAGTGTTAAAACATTTGGGTTACCAGAACCCAGGGACTCGGAGAAGGACCCTCACCCAGCTGCAAGCCTGCCTCTCTGGGAGCTCTTCTGGGGCACCACATGCTGGCTCCAGGAGTACCAACAGAGACAGCCTGGAAGCATCAAAGCTCCAGGGCGGAGAGCCATTGCTGGGGCATCCAGAACAGGGGCAGGAAGCCAGCAGAAAGAGCAATCACCCTCTCCTCCTCTTCCTTCCCGTCTTCTGTGGCTCCTGTCTGCAGAACCCAAGGGACGTGGCAGGCAAAGGAGGAACACGCTTTGCAGACTCTCAACCTTGGCCTCACAAGGTGGGCTTTGAAGAATTGTCTGGAGCTGAGGGACGATACTCGATTTGCTGGCAGTTCGGCAAGCTGAGTCAAATTACTTCCGTCCAGGCACCATAACCATGACTCAATGGAAGGATATCCACATCCATTAGTGCGTAACCAACCACTCCAACCAGAAGTGGCTTAAACCAACACAGATTTTAGGTGCTACTCATTCTGTGGCCCAGTAGTTTGGGCTGGCTCTCCCAGAGGAGATCACGTGCGGTCCTACGGCGTTGGGACTGGACTGGGCTGTCTCAGATGGCCTCACTCATGTCTGGAGTTGGGCTGTACCTCCAAGAGGTCCCCAAATTAGGCCTCCACTACCCCCCAGAGACAAGGAGACAGCAGCTCTATTTTCCCAGTCACATTTCAGAGAGGAGCCCTGTGGCCCTAAGAAAGACATTCCTGGGCTGTAAAACTGGCAAGAGACTTTTCAAAAGATTTATATACCTCTCCAAGGGACAGAGAAAGAGTTTACAGTGACAAGTTTTCTAAGTAAATGCTCTGAGGAAGGGGAAGTCAGGGGCCTGGAATCAGGAGGAAGTCCCTTCTAGTTTAGTCTAACTGAGGGGACATCAAGGCTGGATGGTCAGAGGCTGGTCCAGCTTCTTCACAGGACAGGATCCGGGTGCTGAGAGAGAGAATGAGAGAGACAGAAATAGAGAGACAGAGACATATAGAGAGACAGAGATAGAGACACGGAGACAGAGAAAGAGAGAAGCAGCTGCGGGGCCTCTGGGCCTGCGCTGGGAACTCCTGCAACATAACTGCTCCCACATTCTCTTGGTCAGAGGAACTCACAGGCCAGCCAAATCCCAGGGGGTGAAGAAAAAGCTTCTCCTCTTATTGCAGAAGTGGCAAAGTCACGTGGCAGAGAGGTGATCACGTGAAGATGGAAGGAAATGTGGTCCCTTTTTCATATCTGCCACAAAAGGCTTAGTTAAGGGGTCAGGTGTGGACACTTAGTCAGACACGCTTCTCTACCTTCTGAGATTTCTGCTCCACCCACTCCCACTCACCGTCTACTTCATCCCATGGCTCTGATTTGGGGTGGGAACCACTATTTTCTGAGCTGAGGCTATTCCCCAGGGACAATATACCACTTTCCCCATGATGTTTTCTACTTTTCCTTTGAAAAACACCTCCCACAGATTCAAGACAGAAGACACTGACTAGAGCTCTTATTCATACTGCTGCTGTCCCAAGACAAAGACCCACCTTCAAATTTTTAAAGCTTTGCCTTCTTTTTTGCACATATGAAATATGGGACACGTGGAGATGCCTTGAATAACACCTAGGTATTAGGGCAAACATTTTGTTCTAAAACTTGAAATGTTGAGGAGTATATGGAATACCACAGTGATCACTCCTCAACCATAAACACCCCCTACTCCCAATCCTAACTCCTGTACGTGATTTCAATTTTATATTCCTTTTCTAGCAGCTAGGGTCCTGCTCCCAGTGTGTACAAACTGTGACATTCTCCCTTTGAAGGACAACTTGGAAAGGAGCATCTGGGGACTGGAATCAATGAAAGGGGAGGTTGTAGCAGAGGAGAGGAGTGGGACTTTGTCAATAAGGTTTTGGGGGACATGAAGCTGAAGGACTGGAAACCCAGACCTCGGGACTGCACGCTTGTATTGGATTAGAGGGAAGAGATTCAGAATATTTACAGGACATTTTGATTGTCTGTGTGGTAGAGCTGACTCTCTGAAAAGGAGAGAGATGTAGAAGACGAGAATTGGAACTTCTGACGAGAAAACAGGAAATGCTTTGAAGCCTGATGGCAAACTGGGCATGAGGAGGGGAGGAAAGGCTCTCAGGATAAGTAAACATTCCCTTTAAGGAAATAAAGCATTTGATCAGAAGCACAGTGAAACTGTAGGGAGGAACCAGAGATGTCTGACTCTGTGGTGTTATTCTGGTAAATGGGAAACAATCAGAAGAGTTTCACAGGTTCAGCTGCACCGTCCACTCTGCTCTTCCCTTCAAGAGGGTGCGTTCTTCCACGGCGGGTGGCTCTGCTGCAGGACTTGCCCAGGGAAGGAGGGAGCGCTCCACCTCACCCACCACCTGATCAGCGCAGCAAGGTCCTGGGGATGGGAAACGCCCTTGACTCAAGGACGGCACCAAAAACTCCCCAAAATAAAAAGGAGCAAGAGTTTGGCTATTGCCTGATTTAGGAGTTAAAGACTCCATCTTCGTCATCACCATCAGCATGCCAAAGTACCACTTCTTCCTTAAATTATACGACAGATTTAGATAAATGGATAGATAGATAGAGGGACAAATAGATAAAGATCCTGAGAGAAGGTTTTCCACCACCCACCTTTCCGTCTTACATCCTGGAATCTAGATTAACTCTCAAGCCCATCCGGAAAATCTTTAGTGAGGACGAGACCCTAATGGATTTGGGCAAGAGAAGCAGAGAAGTAGCCAGTTAACATCCCCTGTAAGACTTCTAAGGACCAATTAAGGCCTGGAATCCCACTCCTCCCACAGACACGGGCACTCTCTGACTGGTGGGTACCCGACTGCCTTTCAGTGGCCCAGAGGCGGTGACCAGGTTAACCACCCCCTGACTAACCTACCTGCAGTCACAACCACCAGGAAGCACTTTTCCAGGGCCCATTAGAAGGTTGGGAAGAGCAGAGAAAAGGCTGCTGCCCACATGATGAAGCGGGATCTGATTTGTACTTTCCTCCTGGGAACCAGAAACGCTGCCCTCCCTCCCCGCCCTGCTGGCAACTTGGGTAAAGCAGAACCAGACATGTTATCCTAACAGCTCAGGCCCAAATGCCCCTGGCAGGCGGGTCTCTGGCCGGAAATCTCCCCGCCTTGGGGCGGCGGGCAGGGGAAGGGGCGGGGGCCGAGGAGGCGGGCCTGGCGGCAGGAGGTGGGGGCCGCGGGCCCGGCGCGGAGGATGCATGCGGTGGTCCTGGGGCTCTCCGCCCTGCTGCTGGCGGCCGACGAGAGCGCGCGTGAGTGCGGGGCAGCCAAGGCTTGGGCGCCTGCAGTGCTCACCCCTCCAACACTCTAACCCACCCAGATGCCCCCGGACGTACGCGCCATCCCTGTAGGTGCAGGCAGCCTATCTATGCCCGGGCACAGCGCTGCGGGCCAGTGCGTGCAGGGCGGCACCCCTCCCGCCGGGCTGAGCACCCCAGTCCAGTCCTTCGTGGATCCCTGCGTATGCACAATCCTGCTGTTGATGCGTGATTCCCACCAAGGATGCATGGTCCCCCGTGCATGAGACCACCTGGGATGCCCGGTCTCCCCGCGGATGCATGATCCTCCGTGGATGCTTGGTCCCCCAAGGATACATAATCCTCTCCTGGAGCCTGGGCGCATGTAGCCGCCCTTCCCTCCAGAACGGGCTCCTGGACTCAGCCAAGTGCTGCGGGTGCGAGATGCACTGAAGACCGCCGCGAGTGCGCCCTGCTCTCCCACCACCAGGGCCGGCCTGGGGGTCTCAGCGGCGGGCGAGGCCGATTGGGTACCCGAGTTGTGTGGGGGGTAGGACCGGGCTCGGTGTCCGCGCGGCCCTGGAGGACTGTATCTCCGTTTCGGGGCTTAGGATCGGTCAGAGGCGACCTGCCCGGGACACCCCAGTGCCGCGAGGAGCCGGGTCCCGGCCACACAAGATGGCAACACTGTTTAGCGCCTTTCCAGTTTGAACTGGTAACTCATTCGGTGCCAGAGAGGAAGCCTCCGCCCACTTCCGCCGTGCTCCCTGCAGACGCCTCTTCCTTGGCGCGGTCCCCGGGGATTGGGGTGGATTTAATAAGGCCCTGGCCTCGGGACCCCCTGGGACCCTGCGCCGCTCCCAAGCACCCACGCACTCAGAGACCCTCGCTGGCGCAGACTTTCAACTAAATCCCTAGGAGCCAGTTGCTGCTTACCGGTTAGTGGGGTCCCTTGTTTGAACAGCCATCCCTGTGGGTCCCCAAAGGGGCGCCCCCGCCGCGCTGTTTCAAAGCCACACCAGGAGCCCCTGTGAGGTCGGCACCAAAGCTCCCGGGTCCAGCGCCCCCTCCGAGAAGGGCTAAGACAAGACAGGACCCCCGCGTCTCAGCACCCACCCCGTTTGGTGGCATGGATATGCTCCCTTCTGTTGTAGCCTGGAGCAGCCAGGACTTCAGCAGTCCTCAGCCTGGGCGGAGCAGTAACTCCTCCACCGACTTTCTGTGCAGGGACCCTGGTTTGCAGTGTGTGGCACGAAGCCCAGGGTGGATAGAACAGATGACAGGGCTTGGGGACCAAGAAAGGCTGCTGGAGCCCTGGCTCCTCTGTCCACACCCGCAGGATTCCTATCTATACTACGGCCCGTGCTCTCTTTCCACTGTTGCAGCTTCGTGTGACCATAAATCCGTTTTAAACTTTTAATATGGAAAACCCGAATTATAGCCACATAAAACAATGACTGTGCATCGTGCACATGCTGGTGCTGGACAGATACAAGCTCCCACCCCACTGTCAGTGACAGGGACACAGATCCTGACCTGGATCTGTCTCACACTTTCAACTCTGTTTCTCTACCCTACCATCCTCAAAGATAAAATAAAGACAGCAGCCACAGAGAGAAGGTTTAACATTTTTTGAGCACACACCAGGTTCCAGGTGTGTTTTGCTCCTGCTGTCCTGTGCCATCCAACTGTCCCTTCCTAGGACCTGGTGTCTGATCCTCTGGGTACCCTGGAAAGGCCTGGCCTTTCCTTCAACCTCATGCCCCTCTGGACTGGGTCTAGCCCAGAGCCCTGCTGGGGACAGGGATGCAGTGCTGGCTGGGGACCCAGTCTCCCTCCAGCCTTCCCCTGACCCTGGTCTTTCCTTTTCCCTCCCGCAGGCCTCTGCACTGTGGTTTACTACTTCTCCGCAGGACAGCTCCTCTGGGGGGGACTGGCCCTGGCTGTGCTGCTGCCCGGCTGCTTGGTGCAGGGCCTGAGTTATCTGTGGTTCCGAGCAGATGGACATCAAGGTCATTGCTTGCTGGTCCTGCTGCACGGCCTACAGCTTGGCGTGTGGAAGCGGTAAGGACTGGCAGCCTCCTCTCGACTCTGAGGCAGGATTGCATGAGTGCAGTAGGAGGGCTATTCTGTGCACGTGGACTCTATCCTATGGTCCTAGAATTTCAAGGATGGGCGATTTTCAGAGCCACCATGTGGAACCCTTGCTCCAATATGGACCCCCCTCTTCCAGCCTGCACTTCCTGGAGCATCTCTATCATCAGGGGTTCCTACCCTATATAGCTATGGCCCTTCCAAAGCTTTCCTTGACTTCTGCCAAATTCTATCTTTCTGTTGTTTCCATTCATGGCTCAAGGCCTTGGAGCCATAGAAGGTGACCTGCTTAAGGCCGTTCCATTTAAACACCTACTACCATAGTCACAGAAGTGGCGTAGATTTAACCACAGACTAGGAGCGGAGCTGGCCTGGTGACATTTGCATCAAGGCTTTATTGCAGGAAGAAGCCATTTGGGAGCCAGGGCCAGTTTTTCCCACAAAAAAGACACCTGGTTGGCCTAGTGTCCTTTAGGCTTACCTGTGGTCCCCTTTTTTTTTTTTTTAATTTTTTTCCTTGTCTTTTCTTTTTCTTTTTTAATTGCAGTAACATTGGTTTATAACATTGCATATATTTCAGGTGTACATCGCAATCTATTTCAAATTTTGTGTAGATTACATCATGGTCACCACTCAAAGACTAATTACAATCCATCCCCACACATGTGCGCCTGATCACCCCTTATGCCCTCCTCCCTTCCCCCTTCCCCTCTGGTAAGCACCAGTCCAATGTCTGTTGCTGTGTGTTTGTCGTTTTTACCTTCTGTCTTCTACTCATGAGTGAGATCATACGCTATGAGACTTTCTCCCCCTGACTTATTTCACTTAGCATAAATCCCTCAACGTTCATCCACGTTGTCACAAATGGCTGGATTTCATCATTTCTTATGGTTGAGTAGTAGTCCATAGTGTCTATGTACCACATCTTCTTTATCCACTCGTCCCTTGATGGGCACCTAGGTCACTTCCGTGTCTTGGCTATTGTGAATAATGCTGCAATGAACATAGGTGTGCATGTATCCACATATTTGTGGCTTTTCTGTTTTTATTCCTGTAGTTGATTTCTAGTTTCATACCTTTGTGGTCAGAAAACATGATTGGTATTATATCAATCTTCTTAAAATGATTGAGACTTGTTTTGTGGCCTAATATGTGATCAATCCTGGAGAATGTTCCATGAGCATTTGAAAATCACGTGTATTCTGGGTGTTTTTTTGGATGGAATGTTCTATATATATCTACTAAGTCCATCTGGTCTAATGTGTTCCTTAAGGCCAATGTTTCCTTACTGACGTTCTGTTTGGATGATACATCCATTGGTGTAACTGGACTGTTAAAATCCCCTACTATTATTGCATCACTGTCTATTTCTCCTTTTATGTCTGTTAACAATTGCTTAATATATTTAGGTGCTCCTATGTTGGGTGCATAGATATTTACAAGTGTTATAGCCTCTTGTTGGATTGTTCCTTTTATCATTGTAGAATGCCCTTCTTTGTCTCTTGTTACAGCTTTTGTTTTAAAGTCTATTTTGTCTGATATGAATATTGCTACCCCAGCTTTCTTTTCTTTGCCATTGGCATGGAGTATCTTTTCCCATCCCTTCACTTTCAGTTTGTGAGTGTCTTTAGGTCTGAAGTGTGTCTCTTGTGTGCAACATGTATATGGGTCTTGTTTTTTTATCCCATCAGCCACCCTATGCCTTTTGATCGGAGCGTGTAGTCCATTGACATTTAAATTAGCTATTGAGAAATGTGTGTTTATTGCCATTTTGTTACTTTTTTTCTGGATTTTTAGTGGTTCTTTTCTGTTCCTTTCTTCTTCTCTTGCTCTCTTCCCTTGTGATCTGATGGTTTTCTTTAGTAATATATTTGATTTCCTTTCTCTTAATTATTTTTTTATTTATTATAGCTTTCTGGTTTGTGATTACCATGAGGTTCATATATAATAACCTACATTTATAGCAATCTATATTGAGTTGATGGTCCCTTTATTTTGACTTCTTTCTAAAAGCTCTACTCTTTTACTCTCCTCTTTCCACATTTTATGTTTTTGAAATCATATCTAATCTCTTATTTTGTGTGTCTATCCATTACCCTCTTATCATTGAAATAGGTCATTTTAGTGCTTTGTCTTTTAACCTTCATATTATCTTCACAGGTGGTTGATCTGCTACCTTTACTTTACTTTTGCTTTATCAGTGATTTTATTACCTGTTGGGTTTTGTTTTGATAATTTTCTCATTCTTATTTGTGATCTTCTCTTTCTCACTTAAATAAGTCCCTTCAGCATTTATTGTAAGACTGGTTACTTGGTGATAAACTCCTTTAACTTTTGCTTATCTGGGAAACTCTTTATCTCTCCTTCGATTCTGAATGATAACCTTGCTGGGTAGAGTATTCTTGGCTGTAGGTTTTTTCCTTTCAGCACTTTAAGTATGTCATGCCACTCTCTTCCAGCCTGTAAGGTTTTGGCTGAGAAGTCTGCCGATAGCCTTATGGGGTTTCCTTTGTATGCCGCTTGTTGCCTTTCTCTTGCAGCTTTTAGGATTCTCTCTTTATCTTTAATTTTGGACACTTTAAATATAATGTGTCTTGGTGTGGGCCTCTTTGGGTTTATCTTGTTTGGTGCTCTCTGTGCCTCCTGTACTTGGAGGTCTGTTTCCTTCCTTAGGCTAGGAAAGTTTTCAGCCATTATTTCTTCAAATGGATTCTCTGCCCCTTTCTCTCTCTCTTCTCTTTCTGGGACACCTATAATTTGAATGTTAATGTGCTTGATATTGTCCTTTAGACTGTTCTCGTTCTTTTAAATTCTTTTTTCTTTTATCTGTTCAGCTTGGGTGATTTTCTCTAGTCTTTCATCCAGATCACTGATCCATTCTTCTGTATCATCTACTCTGCTATCAAGTCCCTCTAGTGAATTTTTCATTTCCAATATTGTATTCTTCATTTATGATTGGTTCTTTTTTATATTTTCCAATTCTTTGTTGACATTCTCATTGTGTTCATCTAGTCTTCTCGCAATATCTGTGAGCATCCTTATGAGTTTTTGTTTGAACTCTTTGTCAGGTAGATTGCTTATTTCTGTTTCATTTAGTTCTTTTTCTAGGGTTTTGTCCTGTTCCCTTGCTTGGAATGATTCCTTTCCTCCTGATTTTGCCTCTTTCTCTGTGCTTATATCTATATATTAGGTGAGTCAGCTGTGTCTCCTGCTCTTGGAGAAGTGGCCTTATGTAAGGGATGCCTTTTGAGGCCTAGCAGTGTGCTTCCCTCTTGTCACCAGTCCAAATGTTCCAGGAGTGACCCCTGTGTGGGCTACATGTATCCTTCTGCTGTGGCAGGTTGGTCTTGCTGCAGGAATCCAGGGAGTCTAGCCTTTCCCTTTCTGGCTGACTATTTGTAAATCGGGTGTGGCTCCAAGGTCTAACAGCACACTCTTGTTGCAGTTTTTCTACTATGTGAAGGCCCCCAGCATGGCTGGTTGCTAGGCTCAGGGGCTTACAGTTGCTGTAGGCCTCAAGCCTGCAAGCCTGTTATCAGCTCTCTCAGGATTGCAGCTGGGTGGTGCTGGCCCCAGGCTTGGGAGCCCCTAATTGTTTGAGGCTTTGGAAGTTGGGGCTGATCCATTTTATGGCTATTTGTGAAGCACAGGTCTTCTGCCACTGATAAGCCCCACCCCGTGCAGGTCCACACACACCGTCAATGCAGCCCTGGTCTGTGCACACTTCCTGAACCCCTGGAGCATATCCAATTGTCCCACTGCAGAGACACCCAAACCCCCACAGTTCACCTGGTCCTCATGCAGGTCATGCCCCACAGAGGTGGACACACTCACCTGCCTTCAGAGGATCAAGGCACCCAGACTATGTAGGCCGACAAGTAGTCTGAGGGTTTGCTGTTGGGTGGGGCCAGTCCCTAGGGAAAGATGCCTGCCCTGGCTGAGCTGGATTAAATTGGCACTCTACTTGGCATGGCACACATCTGGGCTAACAGGCCAGGGAAATAACTTCAATGGCTGCCAGCATCTGTGTCAGCATGCCTGTACTAGGTTACAACAATGGCTGTCACTAATGTCTCAGTCTCTGGAGAGGTCTCACCTCTCACCAAGGTGCACCCAGAGCCTACCAGGTGAGTCTCTTTTCACCAAAGGATTGTGTACCTTTCTTTTTGGTGATTTTAAGTTGCTCTCTGAGATGGGTGAATTTGTGCATGGGCCCTTTAAGAGCTGGGTTTTTTCACTTATGTTGATAGCTTTACTGGGGATATTCCCCTTTGTAGTTAATAGCTCGCAAAGCCAGATACTATGAGACTCGTCTCAGTTGTGCTGAGTCTGAAGGATGCTTAGAGCAGTAACACACCCCCGCTCAGGTCCCCACTCCTCCAGGGAAGGCTGTGTACCGTAGGGCTCCTCCCACTCAGCTATGAAGCTCCATGGCTGGCACAGGTGACTTTTTTCTCTCCAGAAAGGAATTTCTGCCTCTACGCCTCAGTCAGGACTGCCCCTGGTTGTAGGGGTTCTTTTTATCTAGTTTTCAGTTCTCACTCTGGGGTAATTTTCCCAAGAATTATAGTAACCTGGTGGTGTTCATGAATGGAGATGAGTTCAGAGTCTGCCTACATCACCATCTTGATGAGATTTCCTGTGGTCCCCTCTTCAGGTAAAGTAATCTTCTCACTGGGGTACCTGCATGCCTGGAGTGTCAGGAGAGATCTGTCTGTGGTTGATGTAAAAGGCCCATTTCAGCTCTCAGCTGCCTCATATTCCATTGAGTTGTCAGGAATAAAAGAAGGGAGAAAAGTAGGGGGATCCGGTCAGTGAAGCCGTGCAGCAAGTGTTCGTGAGTTTGGAGACCCCACAGATTGGAAGGGTGTTAGGGAGTCACTGCCAAGTCTCGGATCTCGGGCTGTGCTCCTGGCTCTTCTTGGTGCCTTCGAGCTAGTCCCAGGGCTTTCCTTGAAGGAGATGAAGTG